GAAGAATTGCCTTTGGAATGTTTTCTGGTTCTAAATTTGGGGAGCAAGGCTCATACCTTAAAGTTGAATCCCTTTCATTTAGAACTGACCCTTAGAAAGATGTGGGTATCATCCTGTGCGACATTTCCCCTGTGTTTTATTTTCCATTAATCAAAAGAATGTTTAGCTCATTCATTGCTAAGAATAGTAAAATCTAATGGGGGGAAACTCACTCGATGAAATCTGACTTTCCCATTTCGGGGGCCTGTCTGCTGCTGTTTGCACATCCTTGCTGGCCTTTCTGTGCACCCGTGCCTTACGTCACCCAGGGACTCTCGGCATGGGTAGCTTGCAACAGGATTGTGCAGTGTTGCTGTAGAGCAAATTCTTTTTATTACCAGTTTCCCTTTGCATTGCCCCCAAAATGGTTTGGATTTTTCTTATCAAAACTGAACTTCCTATGCATGTTTTAACTTTGTAGTCAGAATAACCAGTAAATAGCCAGGAAAAGTAAGCTATTATCTTTATGATAGCCTGTAGGGACAGGATTGTGCGCATTTTTTTTTTAAAGCAGGCTTTAGTATTTGCCTACTGAATGGAAACACTCAGGATATAGAAATCTATCAGTTAGGGTTTGGTTCGACAATTAAGAACTTTAAGAGCGTGACCCAATTCCTTTGGATTAAAATATTTTGAGTATTTGTCACCTGATTAAAAGTAGAACCTTCTACCCATGACTCAGAGTTGAAGGAAATGTCAGAGCTTTTTATACTGGAGGCAGACGGGGTGGCCCTGGGGAGGGCAGGCACCCAGGCTGCGGCCCCGAGCGGACCCTGAGCCAGACTTTACACTTGGGCAGGGGTGTGTCCTTATCTCCAAGGGACTTTGTCTTTCTGGACTCTTCCCTACGCCAGCTGGCCGGCCCTGGTGTCTGAGGGCAGGGTAGGGTCCCTGCTGCCGCAGGGAGGCATTCGCCAGCACTTGCCTCTGGGGCTGGCGAGATTGGGGTGGCGCGGGGGGGCCTGGCCCAGAGCAGAGCGGCCTGTTTCTGGCTGAACCCGGGGGCTGGCGGCCTGCTTGTTTCAGACTGCTCCGGAGAGCGCCCCGCGCCCGCGCCAGCGCCGAGAACGCGCCGCAGGCGGGCACGAGGGCCAGAGGGAAGTCTGAGCCGCTCACTCGGCCTGTGTTGGCGTTCAGGGCCGTTCTTTGTGGAGAACTTGGGTTAGAAAGCTGAAGGGAAAGGAAAATTAAGCAAGAAGAGAGTATGAGAAACCTGTTTCCTCACGCGCGCCAGCAAGGCTGTACCTAAGACAGGCAGCAGCAAGTGTGGCGTGAGGGCGCTGCGGTCTGCTGCAGGCCACCGGCCCACACCCTCTGGCTCGAGACCGAAGAAACACTCTCGGAGCAAGGCCGCCGGCAGAGTCGCCGACGGCGCGCCGGCAGGTGCGCGAGGGAGCCGCCAGGCACGGCCAGGTGCGCGGGCTGGGGCGGTCGTCGTGGCCGGCCGGGCCAGGAGGACAAGGGCAGCGATGTCCCTTACCTGTGGAACCTGGCACGACCCGAGCTGAGCTCCCAAAGAGCGGGCTGGCGGGCGGGGGCGGGGCGTGGAAGGTGCCAACTGGAAACCAAACGCCATGGGCCCGCGTGAGTGGGCGGCGGGAGGTGCCACGGCCAGGAGATGCCCGGTGGGGGCTCAGCAAACACGACCCACTTCGCCTGCCCGCTTGAGGGGGGTGCTGTCCACGCCCTCTGTGAAAGGCTCTTTTCTGAGAAGGCCTTAGGGCAGGAAACGGCCTTGGGGGTCGGTCGTAGGTTGTGAGTTATCCGCGGACAGTCTCCTCTTCGTTTCAGCCGCGTGGAGGAATCGGGTGCCTGTGTTGTGACAGCTGCTGGAATAAAGTGTGGGGGTGTTGCTAGTCTCCACTCGTAGCTGCTTGAGGTATGGTGGTTAATTTAACATTTTTGCTAGTAAGATTTTTCCCTGTTTTGTGGCTGACTTAACATTAACCTTATTTACTTATTTTGTAAGTAACTTTTTATTGAAAAACAACAAAAAAAGGTAAGAAATGCTGAAATGTTTTCTGGGTCATCTCAGTTGTGTTGTTCTGTTGGAATTAATTTTTGTTGGAAGGACACAACCTGTCCAGAACTTCTCAAAATATTTCAGAGGAAATCGTTCAAAATATTGAGAGAGACTCAGCATTTTACCACGCACCAGTGACTTTCCCCAGTCACAAGTTTAAGAAAAATCTGACTCCTTCCCAGCAGTAAGGAGTCCCCTTTGTGGGGACTCTGGGTTCTCGTGGTCATCTCCGCCGGCCAGCGGAGGCCCCGCTGGAAATATTGCTGATGGGATTTTGTCCTGTGTGGGGTTCTGTTCAGCGTGCTGGCTGTCTAGAGGCCCTCTGGGCTGGAGTTTGGGAACTAAACTCGAGAGCTGATGTAGCTTTAGTGGATGTGAATGTAAACTGTCTTGGACAGCCTGAGCCTGCCGACATGTATTCCATTCATTGTGAGTTTTCTTTACGGTTATATGATCTAAAGAGCACGTTCTTCGGAAGGGACCATCTTTCTGAGGCGGAAGGCATTTTCAGACGCAGTCATAATTGGTTCAGGATTATCATCACGTAGACAAGCGCCCATGAAGAGTGGACCCATCGCGCCAGTGCCCACCTCGTGGCAGCGGTGGCACTCAGGCGAGACAGCGCGAGGAGCCCCTGGGTCCGGGGCTCAGACCAGCCTGCTCGGACGAGCTGAGGATGGCCACCTGGGGCCGGTGACGCTGCCCAGAGCCTGGCCGGCGGGAGGCATGCTGTCCCAGGCAGAGCATCCTGCTGGCGGGGTGAGGGTCTGCAGGGGACACTCCAGGGCGTCGCTAATATTTTTTTTGCAAAAATCAGTCTTGTCCTGTGTGGGGTTCTGTTCAGCGTGCTAGCTGTCTAGAGGCCCTCTGGGCTGGCTCTGAGCGGGGAGACCCTGGGAGCCCAGCCGGAGGGTGGGGCACCGGGCCACGCTGAGCAGCCCTCTGCTCAGGTTTGGATGTGAGCGTTCAGGCGAAAGGCTTGGGGCCTGGGGTGGGGGGGGGGTGTCCTGCCAGTGCCTGTCTGACTCAGCCTGAGGTCAGGGTTGTGGCGGAAGGTGTCAGACGCCCGGGCTGCAGGCTGTAGGGGAAGGGTGCTGGCTTGGTGCGGCCTGGGATTCTGAATTCTGAACGAAAGCAGGTGGTCGTGGACAGCCCGGGATGTCAGGCCAGGAGCCCAGATGCTCCTTTTAGGGCTTATAAAACAGTCCCAGCATTGGAAATCTTGTTTAGGGTAATGGGAGGAAGTGACTGGTTTGTTCTCCAAGGTGCATCTGTTGCCCAAGCCCACCTCTCCAGGAGCGGCAGCACCTGCCTCCCCTCCCCAGCCCCACGAGAAGCAGCTTGAGAGTCTGAGCCCACGTTCTTACTTAAGATAAGGAATTTTCTTAAACTGTTTTTGACCTCTATTGAATAGGTAATTCCTAGGGTTTACGGTTCCAGTAGAGACATCCCGCTCTCCGAGCTGCGGTCACCCGCTGCCAGCACAGCAGGCCGCCCGCCAGGCAGCAGGCCGCGCTGTGGGCCCCGCTCCTCTGCCGGCCCGCGCGGTCGGAAGTGCTGGGCTGGGAGAGCAGGCTTCATTCTGAAGGCTTTTTAATGGTCAGACTGTTTTTGTTGTCCTTAACACAGAATGGTTCTGGCGTTCTGCTGCACTACAGCTAAGCAAGTAACTGTGTCAGCTCTAGAGTTCCTGGGCTCAGGCGTGTTCATACAGCCGCTCCCACTTTGCACAGCGGAGCAGCCTGCTCTGCACCCCCAGTCTTGCCAGGTTGGGCTTTTAGACCCTTCGCCTGCACTCCAGGCCCTGTCGTTCACTCAGAGATGGCAGAACGCTGGAGGGCCGGAGCCCCTCGGAACGGAGGGCCGCGTCCTCCCGGCATGGCGGATCTGGACGGGCAGAGAGCTCGAGAGTCGCGAAACCGAGCGCTGGGGCCTTCTAGCCGTAAGCAGTTGCCTGTTTTAAAGAAAAGCCAGTTAGCGGGTTGGGTCCAGAGCAGCCGCCCTCTCCGTATCCGTGGTCAGTGTCTGCCAGGGGCTGAGATGGAGTTTGGCTCTGCCTGGTGGCCTTGGGGGCCTCAGCGCGTGAGCTGAGTGAGGCGCCACCCAGAGCCCGCAGAGGGCCGGTCCGCACTTCCCGCGCCACAGCCTCAGATGCGAACAGAATTCTCTGCTCAACGCTTCGTCGTTGACGTTCTCGAAGCAACACACCTGCAGTCTTTCCCCTTGGGTATTTTGACATGACCTCAGTTTTCCCACCATGTGCAATTTTTATCCTGCGGTAAGGTGGCTGCTGTTAGTGCAAAGTGTTACACGTAGGTTGTCGCATTCCTTTAAGAATACTTTTCGCTTTTCGCGTTCCTCTCCGGCGTTCCTTTAAGAATACGTTTCGCTTTTCGCGTTCCTCTCTGGCGTTCCTTTAAGAATACTTTTCGCATCCTTTAAGAATACTTTCGAAAAGTCATGCAAAGTGCTTTTTATTTAAAGTGCTTTTCAAAGCTTGTTTGAACACTGAAAACATTCTAGATTAATTCCAAGCCCATTTTAGATGGCCGCCTCCAACTGCAGACAGGGCGCTGGGCCGGCGCTGCGTCTCCGTGAGGCGTCCTGGCCCCCTGGGGTTGCTGACACGCGCCTGTGGCTCCTGCGGTCCAAAGTCAGGACCGGACAGTGCCGCGCAGGCGCCTCCCCAGGCCCTCGGGAGCAGCCGCTCCGGCTTCCTGCTGCCCGCTGCCCTGTCCCGGGCCTGCTCTGAGGCGCGCCTGTGCCTCTGCGGGATGGAAGCCTCCACGCAAAACTGAAGCGGAGACCGCGTTGCGGCCGTCCCTCCAGAGCGGGTCTGTGCAGGCTGAAAGGGCGGAGGTGGCGCTTGGGCCCTGCGCTGCTGCGGCCCGGCCCTCCTCCCGGCCCCAGCGTGGGCCCAGCCTGTGCCCTCCCCGTCATGCGCTGTCGCTCCTCCGCCTCCACCCCCGGCCTGCGAGTGGTCTCCTGCCAGCTGTCTCTTCCACCCCGCTCTGGCTTCGGGGGCCCCCTGCCCGTTAGAATGGCGTCACCATGTCCGCCACGACAGGCCTTCCAAGCCCCGCCGGGTCTTCCGTGTCCTGACTCGGGCTGCGCCTGCTGGCCAGCTCCGGGCGTTTGGGCCGGAGGGCCTGTCTGCACAGCAGCCATGTGAGGGCCACCCCGGCAGGTGGCTTCAAGGCTACACCACTGAGGGCTCTGCCGCGAGAGCAAGTGTCCTTTGCGCTCCCGGCCCGCCCAGGGCACCTGGGTGTTTGTGCTGCGTGGCTGCACCTTCCCTTCTTCCCTGCCCTGGGGGCTGAGGGGGCAGTGCCAGACTAGAGGAGGGGCCCTGCAACCCCCTGAGGCTCCCGCCAATGGGTGGGCAGGCTGGGGCCCGTCGGTGCCGCCCTCTCCCCAGTGCTCCTGCTGCTGCCCCTCTCCGCCCGGCCGCGGCCAGGCTCCCCGGCGCCAGGCACGTTTAGGAAGAAAAGCATAAAAGGCTCAGTTGTGACGGTCGTTCCCAGGGCAGTGGCCATCTCTCCCAGGCAGGCTGCTGGACACAGCACCCCACAGTAGGCTGCAGCGCTGCGCCCTGAGTGCCCAGCCCCCTCCGCCGGCTCAGGGCCCGTTGGAACGGGCCACTTGTGACATGGACGCTTGCCCATAAATTGCCTCTAAATGTGGGCACCTAAGTTGAGTGGCCTTAAAACCCCAGTCGCGATGCTCAGAGGCTAGAGGATGGCCGGGCTTTGTCACCCCTGGAGGCCGCCCGTGTGGTGAGCTGGCCGCTGGCCGGGCACCTGACTGCAAGCCAGCGGCTCCCTGAGCGCGGGGGAGGGCTTGCCGTCGGGACCTTCTCAGACCCGGCCGGCAGCTACGGGCCTCTTGGCTCCTTTCCCCTTCCCAGTGCTCTTGCCTCTCGGGCTCTGCTCAAGTTGGCTTCTGACGCGCAGCCTCGCTTCTGCTCCCCTCTTCCTCCTTCCCCGCGCTGCCAGGCAGGCAGCGTGGCCCTGGGGAGCCCAGCTGGCGGGGCTGGGCGGAGCCGCCCCCCACTCGGTGCTGCCCTGGCTGGGGTGGGGAGCAGCTCCAGCGAGGCGTCTGAGTCGCAGGATTTGAGGAATCTGCTTTAATTATTTCCTAATTGTCGCTGTAATAGAAGAAAGATGTCTTTTGGGAACTTGTTTCAATGCTGACATAAAAATTACTTGTAATGGCATAAATGCTAATCAGACGATGTTTTTTTCCCCCTTTATTTTAATTCTCCATTGTCGGAGACTTGCTCCGTTATTTATTTGTACAGTTCCAAAGAATTTTCAAAGTAAACGGAGCTTTCATTCTACTCGAATCATCTCAGATCATTAGGCTTTGCCCAGGGAAACCTGAGGCAGTGCCCCGTGCGGCAGGGGCCGGACCTTGACACGCCTGCTCGCCCGCGCTGGCCACGGCCGCCATCTCCGCCACCCCAGAGACAGCGCCTGTTTCTGTTTCCATGCGAGAGGTGAGGCCGAGCGGGGCAGCAGCAGTGAGGGGCAGGGAGCCAGGGCGGGCGGGTGCTGACTCTCCCCAGGCTGCACCCTGGGGTGGCGTGCTCCACGCTGGAGCGCCTGCAGCCGCAGCCGGATAGGAGGCTTCGAAGGTGCCTTGCTGCTGGGCCAAGGTTGGGCTCTGTATCCAGTTTGACTTGGGAATTAAAACTGTAAGTTTTTCCAGGTGGATAAATGAAGGTGCTTAGAGTTAGAAAGACGTTAAAAGTGTTTCAGTTAGCTGGCGTAATGGTAAAGAAAACTCAAAGAAACTACGAGCAAACTGAAAAGAACACAGACTTTGTTCACTGGGAGCGAGTGGGGCTGTGGAGAGAAGTGGGCGAAGGCGTGCATGGGGAGCAGAAAGGGCCTGGTTGGGGGGCGGGGAGCCGAGTGGAGAGGTGTGAGCCGCAGCTCCCGAGCTGGGGTTTGGTCCTCTGTCTGTGTGGGGCAGGACAGGACGCGGGCAGCGGCGGCCTGACCAGAGGGAGGGTGTGCAGAGCAGGGCGTGGGGCACGTGGCACTCTAAGGCCATCCTGGCTGAGTGTGGGTCTCTGTTTCTTTGTGTCGGTTTTAGGTGGCTCAGGGTTACTACTTTATAGCTTTGGCAGGACACGTAACTTGCTCAGATCGACACTGTGTATCCTCTGGCCTGCACTCTGTAATTCCCTCCCTCATTCTGCTTGCAGGTGTTTCTGAGGAGCCAAGGGGTGCTAGCACATTGTGGTAGGCCCTGGGGGACCGTGCTGACCAGACAGGCCGCGGCTGTGTCGGGACAATACAGAGAAATTCAAAGGCCAGTAGCAGGTGTGATTGAGGAACAAACTTGTTCTTGCTTTGACAGGAAAAGTAGTTTTGCCAATGTAGAGATTTGAGGGCTCCAAATACAATTGAGATGGGAAAAAATGAAGTGATAAGACAGAAAAAGAAACTGGAAACCCGAGGGAAGGTGTTTGAGGATAGTTTGTTTCGCTGGCGAGTTCAGCCTCTCCAAGCAGAACTGCTGTAAAACTGTCGCTGGCTAGACAGGCGGGGCCAGCGCTTACCGCTGGTTCGTCAGTGAGCCGAGCCGCCTTCCCGAGCGCTGCAGCAGTCTTGTCCTGCAGGGCGAGGGCTGACCTCTGGTAACGGCGGAGAAGAAGGGGTGCGGAGGTGCTGGCCACGCAGGGGAGGCCACGTCGACGCAGGCGCAGTGCAGGGCCCATCTCACCGCCTGGCCCAGCGGCGGCGCTCAGCCCTGCGCACGGGAGCTGGCCTCCTGTTCTCCGAGCTCAGCTTAATGAAGTGGGTGGCCCTGGGTTGGTGGCCAGGCGCCCCAGAGCAAAAGGACCCCTGTCCCTGGCTGTGGGAAGGAGCCACTCGCTGTTGGCTTTCTAGGGAATGGTCCTGTTAAGCCCACGAGGTCAGCCGCCGCTTTGACCCCTCCTGGGTCCCCTGGTGACCCGGGGGCGTGGGGAGGGGGCAGCGCAAGGGGCGGGGGACAGGACACATGACCACTTACCCAGGATAGGAGTGGTGCACTCGGTCTTGAATCTCAGGAATTTCCAGCGATCAGGTTGGTGTTGCTCAGCCTATGCGCTGGGCACTGGCGGAGAAAGCCTGGCTGGGTTGTGTTATGACACCCCGGCTCTGTCGCTTTTTAGCTGGGGCCTGGTGGCCACGGTGATGGGGTGACGTGTGGCTCCAGATGTGCCTTCCGCAGCCCTGGGCCTGTCTTGCCGTTTAAAAGGCCGCAGCGGCCGTGCTGGGCCGCGCGTGTGTCTGTAAGCGCTAGGCTGGTGGGTGCGGCGTCAGCACAGTGGGTCGGCCCCCGGTCCCAGCAGCTGCGACATGGGTTTGGGTAGAAGCAGGATGAGGAAAACGTGGTCAGGTGAACAGAGTGTGGCAGACCAGTAAGAGATGCCAGCAAGCGCGTGCCCAGGACGCGGCGCCCTGCTCAGGTGTGTGTCTGTGTGCGACTGACCCGGGCCGTAAGGAAAGCGAGCAGGGTGGGCAGGGATAGGCGGGGGTCTTCTAGGGTGAGAAACGCTGCCGTGCAGTTGTTGTGCAAAGTAGAATCAGACAAGCAGGGACTGAGGCCCGCGCGCCCTCATCCCGGGGTGCGGCCCCTGGTCCAGTGAGGGGACAAGACACCAGGCTCCCGGGACTCGTTGACGTGGCCAGGATTTGATCTCCCGCGTGCCACGCCACGGCCTTCCACCTACAGTTCCTGTGCCCAGCCAGCAGCCCTGGTGCCCGTCCTGCTGTGTCAAGCTGCGGTTCCTTCCCTGCCCCCGCCCCGCCCCTCCTGGGCAGAGTGCGCAGGGATGCGCAGAGCCAGGGGTGCTGGCTGGGTGGGCGGCTACACCCTGCTGCAGGGTGCTGCGCGCTTGGCACCCCGCACAAGTAGGGAGGAAGCCGGTCTCCCTCGTGAGGCCCCTTTCAGGCCAGGCAGAGTTTCGTTTTTGTGCTCACAGACCGGTGTCAAAGAAAGAAAGGTCTGTGGACAGAGTAGTCACCGAGTGACAGAAGCATGACTTGCGTTGGTCGGCAGTTCCGACTTTCCTGACGTGGTTTTCTCTCCGGAGACCTCTGTGGCCCTCCAGACTCAGGACGATAGTCCCAGGAAAGCCGGGGACGGCGCCCACCGGCGCACCGGGAGCAGGGCTGTCCGCCGTGGGGCGTTCTGTGTCTCTCCAGGCTCACATGCCTGTAACCTGAGCAGACAGCCCAGGCTGGGGTGCTCCGAGACAGCCGGCCCGAGCGCTCCCCAGCGTCTGCTGTGAGAGGCGAGCCTGGGAAAGCGGTGTAGGCTGCAGGGGCGGGCCAGAGGCAGGCCAGTCGGGGCCCTGCATCGGTAGTTGGACCGTGGGAGGGTCGGGGACACAGCTGGGACAGCAGACAGGATTCGAATGGGCCAGGCGGTGTTCCTACGAGGGGGTGACTGTGCGGAAGGGCGTCCTCGTGCCGAAGAACTTGGCGGAACGGTCGTCCCGCCCGCGGCCTAGCACACGGGTTCCACAGAAACAGTGCGGGTGTGCGCTGCGGTGTGTCCACCGCCACGTCATGGTGGGCAGCAGGCCGTGCACCAGGTGTGTGTGGGGGCTCCCGAGGAGGGCAGGGCCGCTCAGCAGTGAGATGGCGAGGAAGGGCTCCCAGGCCCGGTGCCCAGAGGCGGGGCCCCGTGGTGGCGTTCATGTGTGGCCACCGCCATCTTAGTGTGTGAGCGGTTCTGCGGCGCAGCAAATGAAGAAAAGGGAGGCTTCTTCCCGAGAAACCCTTCAGGGCTGCGAGCCGAGCTTGCCTGCGATCCCGAGGCAGGCCGGTGTCGTCTGCCGGAGCTTGCCTGTGGCGGGCGCCTCACCCCACGCTGGCGCCCGTGGCCGGCAGGTGTTGCCTGCCTTCGGGGGACCTTGCATGCCGCCAGCAGGGTGGGGCGGGCAGTGGGTAACAGTGCGAGGGTTTGCTTCCTTGGAGAAGAAGGCTCTTAGCCTTCTGGAAGCTGCTGCGAGGAGAGAGGCCCCGCCCCCACCGCCGCTCCCCTTCCCCGGCCCGCGACCCGCTCCAATCCTGACCTTGCGGGGTGCAGTGTGCAGTTGCGTGTCTACACATAGTCCTCGCAGCAGCCGGGAAAGGGAGTGGCCATTTCCACCCCTTGTTTCCAGACGAGGAAGCAAGCACAGAAAGTCTAAGAATGTTGCCCCAGATCTCACTGCTGGTGTGTGGGGCTGGCATGGGCTGGGCTGTGGCCGCTAGGCCAGGCCGCCAGGGCGGGTGGTCCTGTGCACACACCAGGCCAGGTGGCGGTGCTGCGCGGGCGCGGAGTGTCAGACAGGCAGCGGCGTTTTGAGCGGGCCTGGGGAGGAGGCCCCGGCTGGCTCCACCTTTGGGGACGGGACGGCTGGCTCCCTTCGCCGCCCCCCGCCTCCCACGGGCCGGCGGCTTCCCAGCCTTTGGGGTGATGCGAGTACTTTGCAAGCTCCCGTTTTCTTCTACTTCTTAATTATTTTTAGTTCCTCTGCGTGTCTGTTATTTCCTGCAGCTTCAACACTTTGAGATGCCTCCTTTCTGTTAGGGCTGGTTTTGTCTTGAATGGTTCGCTTTTTCTACTTTACTTTCCTGAATCACTGTTTGTCTAACCGGAGGCCCCTGCATTTTATTGTTACCATCCTGAGGACTTTTGACTTCCCCTTTGTTTTCAGTTGGTGGGCCAGCGTCCGTCCTGCGCCAGCGACGCTGCTCAGCTGCCGCTGGAGAGTGTGATAAAGTCCAGTAGCCTGACTTCCGCCAGTCTGTGTTTAACTTTTCCTTCTTTAGAATTTGAAAACTTTCTCGCATTTTGTATTTTTTCAAGTGAGCATCAGATCATTTTGACAGGACCCGGAGTCATGCGCGGGTCGGGCCCTGTCCCCTTCAGGTTATGGTCCTAGTCACAGGTGGCGGACCGGGGCGGGGTGGGGGAGCTATTGTGCCTAGTTTCTCATTTCCATTTCTGTTTGATTTCTAGATTTTGGATCATTGTTTGACTTGGAAAATGATCTTCCCGATGAGCTGATCCCCAATGGAGGAGAGCTGGGCCTTTTAAACAGCGGGAACCTTGTTCCAGATGCCGCCTCCAAACATAAACAACTGTCGGAGCTCCTGCGGGGCGGCAGCGGCTCGAGCATCAACCCCGGGCTCGGGAACGTGAGCGCCAGCAGCCCCGTGCAGCCGGGCCTGGGGGGCCAGGCCCCAGGGCAGCCGAACAGTGCGAACCTGGCCGGTCTGGGCGCCATGGGCAAGAGCCCGCTGAGCCAGGGAGACTCCTCAGCACCCAGCCTACCCAAACAGGCAGCCGGCGCCTCGGGGCCCACTCCCCCTGCTTCCCAAGCACTGAATCCGCAAGCACAAAAGCAGGTGGGGCTGGTGACCAGCAGCCCTGCCACGTCACAGACGGGCCCTGGCATCTGCATGAATGCCAGCTTTAACCAGACCCACCCTGGCCTCCTCAATAGTAACTCTGGCCATAGCTTAATGAACCAGGCCCAGCCGGGACAGGCGCAAGTCATGAATGGATCTCTTGGCGCTGCTGGCAGAGGAAGGGGAGCTGGAATGCCGTACCCTACCCCCGCCATGCAAGGCTCCACGAGCAGCGTGCTGGCCGAGACGCTGACGCAGGTGTCCCCGCAAATCACCGGCCACGGGGGACTGAACACGGCGCAGGCAGGAGGCATGGCCAAGGTAAGGGGCTCGGGCACCGTGCTCCCCAGCGGGGCTCTCCCTGCAGGTCGTGCCACCGGCGCGTTCTCTCCCCCGGGGGGCTCTCCCCCACCCCTCAGCCTCGGGAGAGACGCGTTTGGTGGCAGGAGCCCTTCGTGCGGGCTGGCCTCTGTCAAGCCGTTGGACCGATGGCTCGTTCCCCGCCCCCAAGGAAAGGGTGCACACGGCACCGCGTGGTTGACAGAGACGGCGTCTGAGGGGCGTCGGCGGGTCTCAGCGGAGCGCCCCTCCCTTCACCCGGCTCTCTGCAGTCGCCACCGCCACACGGTGCTAGGAAGCGCTGATGGCCTGCGCTTCCTAGCACCGAAGGGCCGGGGCTGGGCCTGGGCCGTGCCCTGGGCCCCAGGGAGGCGCCACACCTGGCAGCGAGAGCGGGGGCTGAGCGCGGGGAGCAGGGCAGGCAGAAGCCGAGGCAGACGAGGTGGCCGAGAGAGGGAGGCTGGCTGTGGGGGTACCGGCTGGCCCCGCCACTGGCACGTTTGGCACAGCAAATTCCAGAACACAGAAAACAGCCTGAACCACTCCGTGGGTGTCATTTGCGCCAAAGAGAGAAAAGGGAGGAATAAAATAGATCCCCAGCAAGGCTGGTGCAAGCGTTAGAGCTGCGACTCTCCCAGGCCGCGCGGGCCGCTGGAGCCCCAGATGAAAGCAGAACGTCACGGCTGCGTCATCGCTTCCGGACTCTCACAGAGGGCCGCACGAGCGCCGTTGGTCTCCCCGTGGTCTGGAGAGGGTCTGCGCGTGTCGGGGCTGGGGCCCCCCTTTCCCTCATTCCTCCTCGCGAGTCGGGTATGCGGCGCGCTGTTCCGGAGACTTCCCTCACACCGGCAGCAGGGGCAGGTGTCCTTCAACTTTTGGTTACAGACTTGAGTAACCTTAAAATATCAAGGGCCCTACAGACACTGCTTTAAAATGAGGCTCACCCTGCCCGCCGCACCACGCTGAGCCCGCGCTTGCATTCTGTCCTCAGCCTGGCGCTGCCCGCCCGGCCTCTGGGCGCCTGTGTCCTGGTGGAGGCCGAGAGAGAAACTGGCGGGAAATGCTTAGTCTTCTGTGACTGCAGTTCTGGGCGCCGGGCTTGGCCTTTCCTACGTGGGTGCCGTGCCCACGGCGAGTGCACGTCTTCATGCCGGATACCGCTGAGTAGTCGGCTGCCACGGCCTCGTATGTCGTCGTGCGTTCATAGGTTCTTTTTCAAAACCTGAGTGTCCCACGTTTCTGTCACTTGCTAGGGCTCTTAGGAGTCTGTTAATTTCTCGAGTCCTGGAGCTGGTTGGCATGCTTGGCTTCGGCCTGGGCATTGCCGCAGTCGCCCTCGCTGCGGCTTCCCGCACACCCAGGCGCTTGCCCCGGCCACAGTGCTCCGCCTGACCCAGGCGGTGTCCCCACGACGGGAGGGGCGCCTTCTCCAGAGAGCCTTTGGGAAGGCAGCAGGGCTGTGCTGGGGGGTGGTCACAGCCTTCAGCGGGACAGGACACGGAGGCGGCAGGAGAGCGGAGACAGGTCTGTTGAAGCCGCGCTCTTCCCCTGGGTCAGGGAACTTTGCTTTAAAGCTATTGTGAGGGATTTGTGCATTCCCATAAAGTTATTTCCTAACAAGGCCCCCCCCACTCCTCACAGCTCCCCACCTCTGCGCCTACTCAGCGTGGAGGAACCCCCCCCCCCCCCGGAGCCCAGTGGCATGGCGCCTCGCTGCACTGAGCAATGTGCCAGGCCTCCCGCCGCCAGCGCACACGGGGCGCGCCTGCCTCACTGGAGAGTGCCCCGAGTCGGCCTGGTGATGACGTCTGGCCGTGGTGGGCCCCAGGTCACCCCCCTCACCCCTTCAGAAAAATAGCGCTGCGCACTGCTAAGTGAACCTCCCTAACGCTTGGCCTTTGGTTCTTCCAAACTGCCGCACAAGGCAAGTTCCCTTTCTTACCGTCCTGCCTGCGTGCCGTGCTGGAGGTGCGTGGAGGTGCGCGGCGGCCTCTGCGAGCCCTCGCCTGCCGACGCCTGCCTGCCTCGCGTGGGGGGGGCCGGGGGCTGCCGCTCTGGCTGGCCTGGCAGTCTGGGTTTGTGGCGTGTCTGCACAGCCACGTGATCGTACCTGCCAGATCAGCGCTCAGGAGTGGGCTTTCTGGGTTGGAGGCCAGCGACACAATCATGAACCATAGGTATTGCCAAGCATTGTCCAGAACACGTGCAGCCCCTGCCTCGTGAGGACCCCCGGCCCCGCAGAGTGCCCTTTCCGTCGGCCACCGCTGGCGGGCTGATCGCTGTGGGCAGGGCGTCTTCTCCTAGGACGTTTGTTAGGCTGCTGCTCGTCTCTGCCGCTTTTCCTGTCGCGCTATTTCTCCCTTAACAGTCTCCGTGTAGGGGCGTGTGGCCCTTTTGTAAAGTGGAGTCTCCCTCCCTGTCTGTCCACAGGGGGCAGCGCCGTGGGGCGCAGGGGCGGCCGCTGCTTTTCCCCCAGGGCTGGCTGTCGTTGCAGCAGAAAGATGTGTCCACTTTTACCTTTCTGGCTTCCTGTCACATTAAGAAATGCTTCTTCTAGTCTAAAGCTCTGAAAATTCTTTGCCATATTGCCATTATATCTCGGGTCTTACAGAATTTGTTCTGACTTAGCACGAGTCCCCTCGTGCTCACTAGACACAGAGAACCAGAGTTGGGACAAAATTCCAGGTGACAGGAGCCCCAGCACCGTCCTCTCTCAGACCAGCTCCCCCTCCGTCCCCACTAATGTGCAGGCCAGTTTCGGTATGTTTTATTCAGTTTTTAAGCATACGAGATCTGCTTTAATCCTGTACTCTTTCTTTTGTCTCCTCGATCTTTGTTTACCCCGAGTCAGAAACCAGTCCCCTCGCGGTGAGGCGCTTTGAGCGTGCGATGGAACGAAGCGCCCTGCGTCTGCTCTGCTGCCCCCAAGGGTGGTTCCTTGGCCCCGGCTGCACGGCCGAGTTCCCTGGGAGTTCGCGCAAGTGGTGCCGAGAGCCCTGCCGCGGGCACGGGCCGCCGGGTGGCATGCGCTCAGCTCCAGAACACTTGCTTGGGGTAAACTGAAGAACTGTTTCTCAGGCTCTTCCCAAGCGTGGGGATTGGATGGGGATTGGATGGGACTTGGTGAACCCCATCCCGCTGGGCACATTCTGCTGGGAGGAAGTGGGCGTGTTGGGACCGGCGCCTGCCGCCCTGTCCTGCCCCGTGAGCCCGGTGAGCCGAGTCTCAGGTGTGCGCTTCACGTTGCTAGTGGGCTTGAATTGTTTCGATACGGGAGAAAGGTTTTATAGATAGAGGAATACCGCTTTGATGATCTGGTCACGCTGTAGGGTTCTCTTACTTATTCTAATTCTTTGTCAGGTGATTGTCTTGAGTTTTCCTAGCGCCCGGTCATCGTTCGCACTCCTGATACACGTCTTCTCCTTGCAGGTTTTTCTAGCAATGTTTATGCTTTTAGGCACCCAGGGCTTAAATAGCTGCCTAAAACAGGGCGTCACTGTTAGTGTGCCATGAGCTTCGGTCTGGAGACTTTTTTGCAGACACCCATGGTTGACCACCTTGTGGTTTTTCCTGCTGTTTTATATATATGACAGTCTATCTCAGTAGGTTTCCTGATATCAAATTGAGCCATCACTGTCACTATGAAATCAAAAGCTAATAACTGCTGTGTTTTTCTCCACTTTTTCGTTAGAATTTTTGCTTCTCACACATCAGTACTGAGGCTAAACTTTGGTTTTCTGTGTTTTGATATCAGTGTAATGTTAATTTGATCAAGAGTTGGGTGGTTTTTCGCATCTGTCCTCTGGAATGGTTTAACATTCTCGTAATCTGTTCTTGAAGAATCTAGTTGCTTCACCTGTGAACTCCTGTGGGCCTAACCTAAAGCTTTTTCTCTAAGGGTCGGGTTAAGGTTTTTGCCAACAGCTTTGCGATTTTCTATGGATTTTGTCTCTTCTAGACTTCTGGTCTCTTGGGTCAAGATATTTTCCTTTCGGAAGGTCTAAACTGACCACTTCTCTCTTTCACCCATTAAAAGGATGCAGTGGGTGCTGCTGCTGTCGCCAGCTAGACTCCAGCGCGGAGGCTGCCGTGGCCGGCGCTCGCCTGCTCCCTGTGGTCCGTGGCTGCGGTCTGGCGCCAGCCTCCTGTCACTCACCGGCGCGGCCTGTCCTGCGCTCAGTTTGCAGTTTGTGCTTCTGATACAGATTCTTCATGTTCAGGCCTTAAACTTTTAGCTTAGAGTTGTGCAAAAGTCTTACAATTCTGGACATTCTGATGTTTGTGACAATTTCATCTTTCTCATTCTCATTTTGTGTGACTCTTCAAGAAAGATATCTAAAATAGAAAACACGAGCTCTCTCAGCAGCCTGGCAGCAATGTTAACAAGGCATGCTATCTATGACTTAGAAAAAACGAAATGATTTTCCTGTGTCAGAAATAGCAACACCTACTTATGCTGCCGTCCCGGCGGCGTGTTCTGTTTCCCACTGAACACAGCCCAAACACTTGTCCTTTAGGTGGAAGGAGAACGATAATTGAGGTGGGATTCAGAAGCCGGCAAGCGCTGGGGCCCTCCTGCCCCGGGAGTAGAGGGTGGCGGCAGGGACCCTGGGGCGGGGCTGCCAGGCTTTGGGGGTTCTCGGGGCAGGGAGAATTTGTATCTTTGCATAGTCTGTTGAAAGCATCCGTCATAGATTAGAGTTCATTTTTTAATGCCGTTTAGGGAAAGCCTCCTTAGAATGTGGTCAGGAAAGTTAGTGCCCGCACCGCCCCCCGGGCGGCTTGAGTTTCGGAGTCAGCGCGTGGGGCCTGGGATGTGTATTTCCTACCAGCCGGGCAGGATAGCCACTGAGAATGTGCGCGCTCAGGGCGGGTTTGAGAACAGAGCCCGTCAAAGCGGGAGCCCGAGCCGCCCGTACAGGCATGAGGGGCCTGTACGTTTGCTGCCGCTTCTCAGTTTCACGTAACACCATCTCACTCGT